TTTTAACTGAATGGTAACTATGTACATTAATGCACTTCTAGGGTACAGTGTGGGGTTTTCACATGCAATCTGAAATATTTCCATCAACTGGTCAACACAGCCTTCATGTCATTTTCTCAGTTATTGCTTTAAAACGTTCACATTCTACTCTTAGAAAGATTCACCTGTACCCCTGGATTACATATTTTAAAAGTACTTATTATTTGGCTATTTAGTATCTTTGATTTTCTTAGTTCTGCACCAGAAGAAAAGGGCCAGAAACAGATACAAATAACTTGCTGCTTCTGATTGACACTTGCTGTGTGCTAGAGAAGGTTCTAGCTCTGGACCGTAGCTCTAGGAACAAATCTAGTTCCACCCAGGGCAGAGCCTGTAATCCTGAAGTTGCCTTGCCTTCCCCAAAGAGAGCTCTTTATTTATGTATTTGTCATGTGTTTACATTTCTGTTTTCTGATATATACATATATATTTTTTTCTTGTTATATATATGTTTTTTAGGAAGCCACAATCAGAGGTTTGCTTCTTAACACACATTTATCCTTTTATAGTTACGGAGGAAGTCTGAAATTAGTTTTACTGGGCAAAAGTTGACAGGGTTGGTTCCTTCTAATAACTTTATTTTTTTATACCAAGGATTATGTATGTAAATCCCTCAAACTGCCGTGCTCACATGAGCCTGCAGCCTGCACCTGTGGGGTGTACTGGAACGTACTGCCACTGTGTCTGGCCACAGACTGCATTTTCTCTAGAACGTGTTTCCACCCTGTTTCCTGAGATGTAGAGAATAGGAAGTGTGCTCTGATTTTATGGGGGACAAGTACATGTAAATATGTCGTAAAAGTATAAATAAAGTTAAAATGAAAGTGTGCTCTTTAAAAAGGTTGTAAAGCAAAGTGTGTCATTCTCTGTTCAGTGTTGCACATTTTACGTTGTTGGGCTCATGTTTCCTGTATGGAGTAGTTGGTAAATTATTCCTTTATGTAAATGACGACATAGTTCATCATGTTCAAATAATCAGTATTATGACATCTTTATTTATTTATTTATTTATTTGAGACAGAGCCTCAAGCTATCCCCCTGGGTAGAGTGCCATGGCATCACAGCTTACAACAACCTCCATCTCCTGGGCTCAAGCGAGTCTCCTGCCTCAGCCTCCCAAGTAGCTGGGACCACAGGCACCCACCACAATACCTGGCTGTGGTTGCAGCCGTCATTGTTGTTTGGCGGGCCTGGCTGGATTTGAACCTGCCACCTTAGGTGTATGTGGCTGGTGCCTTAGCCACTTGAGCCACAGGCGCTGAGCCATTATGGCATCTTTAAAAAATCAAGAAATTGTCCTCCTGTAATTGGAAGTAAAAAATCTCAGAAAGGTTACTTATATTTAAAACACATGTTTTACCCAGGTATGTTCTAGTTGTAAAATTAGGGCTTCTTTTTTCAGTTGAACGATGTATTTGTGTAAGAGGGGATTCCCGAAACATTGTAAGTTACTTACAGTGTTTCTGGAATCTGGCTTTATAAATGTTCATTTAAACTGTATCTGTTTTAGTTAAGTACAGATTATGTGCTCTGGGATGGGTCTGCACATTTGTACTTCAAATGTTATAAGGAAAAGGCTTGATATATTTTTATAGGTAGAGTTTAAAACTTCAGAAAAACTTCATCCACATGTCCTCATTTGTGCCTTGTCCAACTCCCATTTTTCTCATTTCCAAGTGATTGTCCTTTCATCTTCCACCCCCTTCTGTGGGCCCCGCGGCATCACACAGCCTGTCAATTTTCCAGTCCAGCTATAATCTTAATCTCTTTCTTTAGCCAAAGGGAGAGACTTCCAAATAACCCCTGTATCTTAATGAACTTATTCGTAAATTTTCCCCATTTCTCCAATTTTCTGGGTTTAGAGACTTTCCCAGTTGCAATTACCAGGTATCCTCAGCAATTTCTTCCTATCACCAAAATAAAAAAGCTATCTGCATACCTTCCCGCCAGAGCTTCCTGTTTGGATTATGAGCTAAGTATTTGTGGAATGACTGAATCAATAGTACATTGCAAATAATTACCGTTATATGACTATGATTATTAAAAAATGTGTGTATGTCTTATGGATTGCAATCACTAATCTACTAATAAGGTCAGAAAATTTCTATTATAAATATTTGAAATAAAAACTTTAATTTCATCTTATATTTTGTGAATTAGAAATCAAATACTTGTTCTTAAAAGTGTGTAAAAGGAAGACATAATACCCTAGAATAAACTTTTATAAGAAATGTGTAAGAAAAAAAAAAAAAAAAGAAATGTGTAAGAGCTTTAAGAAGAAAATTTTAAAGGCTGGGCATGGTAGCTCACACCTGTAATCCTAGCACTCCGGGGTGCCAAGGTGGGAGGATTGTTTAAGCTTAGGAGTTTGAGACCAGCCCAAGCAAGAGCAAGACCCTGTCTCTAAAAAGTAACTGTGGTGTTGTGGTGGGTTCCTGTGTTCTCAGCTACTTGGGAGGCTGAGGCAAGAGGATCTCTTCAGCCCTGTTTGAGGTTGCTGTAAGCTGTGACACCACAGAACTCTACCACGGGTGACAAAATGAGACTTTGTCTCCCCCCACCAAAAAAATTTTTAAAATGCTGCTGTCCTCTACCTCTTTCCTCTCTTTCTCTCTCATCTCAGACCTAGTCACCTTTCTTTCCTTTTTAAGAATTCTCCTATTCTTTTTTCCATATTAATTTTATAATTAGCTTCTTTAGTTTACATATAGTATATATGTGTGGAGAAAAGATGGAGGATTCAGTAAGTAAAACTTGTACATATGCAATCTAACATGGACGAGGATATACATTATAGGATTATTTATAGTAGGAAGAGATGGGAAACAATCCACGTCCATCAGTTGGAACTGAGTGGGTGTGTGCATGTGTGTCCCTTTGGTGGAACATGCCACAGCCTTGATAAATTGTGAACAGCTCTCACTAGTGTAGAATGATTTTAAGCTACATTTTGAAAGAAAAAAGTAAGATGTTAGAACATATCATATAATAGGTTACAGTCATGTGGAAAAGTGACAGGCCCATCTTTGCCTGCATTATACGCACAGAGACAGTCTCTAGAAGGATCCACAGGAATTAGTACACGTTCTCTGGAGAAGAACTAGATAGCTGGAGGATGGGGGTTGGGAAGAGACTTTTCAGTTTTTACCCCTGTATGGTTAGGGAATTTTGTATCATGAGTATGTATTATCTATTCTAAAATTTTCTTTTAAAGCAGGGGTCCTCAAACTTTTTAAACAGGGGGCCAGTTCACTGTCCCTGAGACTTTTTGAGGGCCGGACTGCGGGCCCCGGGACGAGTTGGCTGCTAAGCAGGATAGGCAGCAGCGGCAAAAACACCTGGCAGGCTGGATAAATGTCCTCTGTGGCCCGCATGTGGCCTGTGGGCTGTAGTTTGAGGATGCCTGTTTTAAAGTAAAGTTTCTTATTTATTTATTTATTTATTTATGTTTTTTGAGACAGAGTCTTAAGCTGTCACCCTGGAGAGAGTGCTGTGGCATCATAGCTCACAGCAACCTCTAACTCTTGGGCTCAAGTGATCCTCTTGCCTTAGTTTTTCTATTTTTAGTAGAGACAGGGGTCTCGCTTTTGCTCAGGCTGGTCTCAAACTTGTGAGCTCAAGCAGTCCACCCACCTCAGCCTCCCAGAGTGCTAGGATTATAGGTGTGAGCCACCATGGCTGGACTAAAGTTTCTTTCTTTCAATCAGTGGCTCTGGAATTCAAGCCCCTGTGCTTGAATAAAGTCTGCGAGCCCTAGGGCTTCTCTTTTGGCTGCTCAGAGGTCTTTCTGTTGACTCTTCCCAGTCAAACATCGCTAGGCAGCTGCATTCTGGTTGACAGATGGTACTGTGTGTGCCCAAGTAGTGGTCAGTTCCATACACTGTTCACACATGTATTTGTGAAATCTATCTGGATTCGCATCATCCACCCCCACCCCAAATCTCATAGAGCAATGTTCCAGTTAATATAACAAGAAACCAAATGCTTGTTAGCTGGGGCAAGGCTTTTGGATATGTGACTTTGGCCATTTAAAGTAAACTTGCTTCTCCCAGAAGTCAGACCGGCCAGATTTTGAACCTCAGCGTCCACTGCCTTGGGCCTCTACCCTGATGCCTTGTGCCTCTATTCTGATCTGATTCCTCCTAGATTATTTTGAGGGTGATATGAAAAGATGATTACTGTGCGCCAACAGAGCAGTGATGGCTGACAGAGGGCACTTACTGCACAGAGCCACTGTGCTGAGGGCATTAGTTCATCCTCACCATAAGGCCATAAGAAAAGTCATTTTCTTCCCATGTTCTATGGATGAGGAGGCTGGGTCTCAGGGAGGTTATGTAGTTTGTTGAGAACACACAGCTAGGTACTGGCGAAGCCTGGGTTTGAATCCAGCTCCAGCTCCAAGGCCAGAGACACTGTCTCTCCAGGGCTTCACATGGTGTGTGCACTTAGTAGGTTCTCCCTGTGCACCTGCTCACATCCCTCATTACAGTAGCAGCAGTAGAATGTGACTCATACTGATAAAATGCAGATTTGCTTTCTTTTTAGTCAAATGAACTTGTGTTGAGTTTGGAAGATGATGACAGACTCGTGCTAAAAGAAGACAGAACCCTGAAAGCAGCTGGAGTTGGTAAGAAAGGGGACTGTATGTCACTTTTTGGGGTCTGCACGATGGGGATCAGCTGATTATATTTGGGTAACTCCCTGCAAAGTAAATGCCCCCCTTTGTGCTTTTCACATTACCTAATCACTATTCAGTGGATGACAAGGATGATGTGTGTTCTGATCCCTTGACTGAGGGCAGCAGATACCGGCTCTCTAAATGTGCAGAATGCAAATAGTTCTGTTCAGAAAGTGTGCTCAGAATTCTGCTGAGGGTCATTTTAAGTGATTGACAGGCTATTAGTACCATGTCTGCTTACTCTTACCATTGTCATGTGAGTTGATGGTTTGAGACAAATGGACGTAGTAGAGCTTATGTGGAATAATGATATGAGGTATTGTCTGTATAACTTGCAGGGTGGTTTCTGATCTTCCAGATAACGCAGGGCCCACCAAGTCATGGAATTTAAAATAGCCTAGTGTGCAACTGAAAAACTACCCAATTTGGCCTTTCAGCTTGGAACATGGATATAGTTCTATTTTAAAGGAATGTTATGTGACATGTTTTGTGGCCATTAGATGTCACTATTATTCTACTTATACATATACCTAAAGATGTGTGGCATTAAACAGAGTGAAGGTTATTGGAGAGGTCTGAGCAGTTAAAGGTACTATGTCTCTGACATACCTTTGGTCAGTATTATGATAGAGTGTCACACATCACATGGTTCTTTGTAATTATTTGTACACACTGGATAAAGAACCCAATAAGTGAGGTCCACATTGGGAAACCTTAAATTTTTCTGTATTCTATTGAGTTACTTTAATCATGTATATCAGAGGTTTACTTTTGAATGACTCATGTGACTAAGGTGAATTCCTGACCTAGGTCTTCCTATTTGAGAAATAGAATCTTAAATAACATGTTGTGAAATCTTAAATTTGTTTTCTTTGTTGAAGTCTACAATATTGGCTAGAATGAGTGTCCTATATTATGAATACATAAGGCTGATAATTGTTACTTGAAAAAGAGTCTTTAATGTGGTATTTGTTTCTTTGAATACTATTATACTATTATAGCAGGTGGCACCTGTGTTAATGAGGCGCGTGGCACCTAGAAGGTAGCTTTGCTTTGTTTTTGTTAAATATAAAGCTATAATGAATTGATATATTGCTATTTACGTGGGAACTAACAGATAGCTCTATGGAAAAGACTGGAAAATACGAAAACAAACTAATGAAAAAAAGTAAGATTTTACAAGATAATAAAGTTGACATCTCAAATAAGCAGGGAAAGAATGAGCCAGAAAATGATATCAAACCCATTGCCAAAACATTCAGGAAAATAACATTCAAATCCTTATCTCTGTCTTTATTGCAACATAAATTCTAGATGGATTAAATGTTGTAATGTAATAAGTTATAATGGAAAAAATATTTTTTTAAAAAAAGCATAGCTTGGCTTGGTACCTGTAGCACAATGTTTATGGTGCCAGCCACGATCACCAAGGGTGGTGGGTTTGAACCTGGCCTGGACTAGCTAAACAACAATGACAACTACAACAAAAAATAGCTGGGCATTGTAGTGGGTGCCTGTAGTCAGCTACTTGGGAGGCTGAGGCAAGAGAATCGCTTAAGCCCAAGAATTGGAGGTTGCTATGAGCTGTGATGCCACAGC